GTCAAGTTACTTTCGGTCCAGTGGGGAAGACAGACAAGTAAGTGGATTGTGCCACGATGGAAGGAAGCGCAGAGTGCTCCAGGGCCACAGAGGAGGAAATGGCCACCAATCCTGATGGGACAGAGAGATGGCTTCTCGGGGGGGGGAGCCTGAGCTAAGGCAGGAAGTGTGAGTAGAAACTATCCAGGCAGAGTGAGTGGGATGGGAGACAAGGGCATTCTGGACAGACAAGCTTGCAGAAAGAAGGAGGGGGCAGAGTAAGAATATGAATGAATGAATGAATGAATGAACAGCAGTCTTGTTTTAGGGAACTGCTGGTACCTCATTCTCAATGTGATAGGGAAGTGAGCAGGAGTCAGTAAAGAATCTTGAATGTTCTACTAAGGTGCTCAGAGTCTGATCTATAAAACTCGGGGAGCCATGGAAAGACTTCACACAATCAGATGTGAATCTTGGAATGATCCCTTTGTCTGCTCTGTGGAGACTGAAGTGGAAAAGGCAGGATTAAAGGCAGGGATCCAGTTGGGAGGCTGTTCTGTTCACCGGGTAGGGAACGACAGTGACTGATCCCAGGGCAGTGGGACCAGAGGGAGGGGGATGATTCGGGAGCCAGTGAGCAGACAGAACCAACAGGTGCTGGTTATTGCTGGGATGTGGGAGGTGACAGAGAGGGGCAGCTAAGATGACTCCCAAGTTTCCAACTTGGATGAATGTGAGATGGAAGACACAGCAGGAGGAGGGACTTCTTGGGAGAGATGATGAGTTTGGCCTGGGACGTGTTGTGCTGGAAGTGCCTGGGAGAATCCAACAGGAGGTGTCCAGTAAGAGGCTGAAGAACACTGGGGCTGGGAAGAGAGATCTGGGAGTTCACAGCACACAGAGGGCAGTTGTGTCCAGGGACATAAATGAGGTTGCCCAGGGAGAATAGTGAGAGCACAGAGCTAAGGCCAGAACACACGCACTTGGGGAGAGGCAGGAAGATGAGGAGCTGATGCACTGGAGTCTGTGTGGAGTGGCCAGGAAGGTAGGAGGGGAGCCAGGAGAGAGCATCATGGAAGCTGGCGGGTGGGTTTCATTACGATGAATCCTGCAACCACTGGGCAAGGTTGGTAGGGCTTTCCCTATTTCAGATGTGAGGGAATTGAAGCTCCAGGAGATTAAGACCCAGGTATGCAACTACGAGTGGTCAGTGGTGGAGCTTGGATTTGAACCCAGGCCTCTGTGACTCCAAAATCCAATAAGCTGTTTCTACTAGACCATGTTTAGCAACACAGGACTTGGCACAAAGTAGATGCTCAATAAATGTTTGCTGGCTGGATAGATTAATGGACGGAAGGAGGAAGGTTAGATGGATGGATGGATAATGTTAGCAGCAATAAATGCTGAAAAATTTTAACAAGCAAGCAGAAAGGCCCTATATCATGCCTGGGAGCATGTCCACAGAACGGAAGCAGTTTAGAACTTTTTATAGCATTGCAGACGTGGTGATGACAAAGGCTTGCCTTCCTTCAACTGCTCTGTAAACGATCTTTTAAAGTCCTTTCAGAGCAAGTTTTTTTTTTTCCATTTCTTTCCATTCTTGCTTGCAAACGAAGGATGATTTTAGAATCCAGGCCTTTTTTATTTTGCTAAAGTACATGATGAGTAAAATGGCCTCCCAGTCAGCACTTTCCAATTTTGAAAGATGCTAAAAACTGATCATTAAAGGCATGTTTCTCTTCTTTATGCATCAAAGGGCCGGCTGGAAGAGGACGGATGAGCGACAGGGAGGTGGCACTACTGCAAGGCTGGGCCTCACTATGGAGGGCAGGAGGTGACGGGAGGGGATCAGGTGTGTGTCCAGGGCCCGCTGGCCTCCTGGTAGCTGTCCCCTTATCCTCCTTCATCCTGTTCTCTGTGGTGTGGGTCCAGCCTGGATCCCAGTGCCCCAGAAAGTGACCAAGGGCTCATTACCCTGACCCAGGAGGGAGCCTCAGGCAGATGCTCGGTAAATGTTTATTGAATGAATGAGTCACAGGGGCTCTTGTAGAGTATAGACCTATTAATCACACTGAAATAATAAATGTAATCTCATTTATAGAGCTTTCAAATTCCTTAGAAATAAAGACGGATGGGCTGTGGGAAAGTCAGTGCTAATATTATCCAGCTCTTATTGGACCTCACTATGTGCCAGGCACTGTGTTAAGCACTTTGTAAGGATTATCTCATTAGTCCTCCTGACAATCCTGTAAAGTAGGTACTACCATTTTGCAGATGAGGAAATTGAGGCTGAGATGGGAAAGGAGTCACCAGAGGCCACCCAAGCCTTGTTGGTGGAGCTGAGATTTGAACAAAGCTCAAAGCTCAAAGACACTCTGAAACCTCTTAGTTGGGAAGCTCTGTGGGCTCCACGAATGTCTTAGGAGCTGACTGTCAAGAAAGTAGAACAGTCTAGAAAACTGTAGGGGTAGGAGAGGGTGGTTGGCTGAGGTCTTGTCTCTGCCACTAAGTCTCCAGGGGACATTAGAAGTTCCTTTCCCCTCATCTGGCCTGTTTCCCCATGTGTATAAGGAAGGTAAGACATGTCTCAGCACCCTGCAGGGTGTGCCTGTCCCCGTTGGAGGAGAGCAGGGGAGATTTCCAAGTCTCCTCAGGCTGTCAACTTTAGCCTCCAGCCTGCACAGGCTTGCTTCATGGCTTGCCCACGAGACCAAGGAGGGTCAGAGAATACAGGCTGGGTTGGGTGGGGCTAGGTTTTGCGCTGCTCACCTGCCCAGGTGTAGCTCTTGGCTGGGAGCCTGGTTCACAGGAATGTTCTCTGACCATGGCCTTGAGCCCTCCAAGGAGTGCCGATTATGTGCTCACCTTCACATACGTGTCCTTCTGTCCACAGGGGAATGACGTGCGCATCATCCTTGGCCAGTTTGACCAGCATATGGCAGCAAAAGTGTTCTGTTGTGTAAGTAAAAAGGTTGTGTCATTTGTGTCTGGGGAGGTTCGTGAGGCTTTTTCTCAGACTCGTTCTCACTGCTCAGCCTGTGAGTGGGATCATAGGCCTGGAGACAGGGTTCTTAGAAGCTGAACTGTTGTGCTCACTGCTGTTTCCTCTTTTCAGGGAGCCAAAGCCCCAGCGGTGCAGTCACAGGAGGCGCCAGGAACCTCCATCGACCACGTCCCCTGTCTCAGCCATTGTCTAAGCCCTGTAGGCTAATTCTGAGTCCAGTCATCTTAACCATAAGCCCTGCTGCGTGTGCTGCACAGAGGGGATGCCAGTTATCGGGGGAGACTAAAGTGACCCAGACCCCTCCCTGCCTTGTAAGCAGGTCTGAGAGTCTTAGGGTTAGGACCAACTATCCACTATTCAGTATCTACTCTTGAATCCTTTACAGCTGTCCGGTGTGTGATAGTTGATAAAGTACTTTTTATACCTTTTCTCACTTAATCTTTTCAATATCATGTGAAGCAGCTATGATCATCCCATTTTACAGATGAGGAAACAGAGTCGCAGAGAGGTGGAGGGGCTTGTCCGAGAGCGCTTAGCTAGTTGGTGACAGAGCCAAGGCTCAATCCCCATTCACCTGATTCCCAATTTAATCTGAAAAAAGATGTTTTCTCCATATGATGTTCTGACTTAAATTCTGTATCAGGGCTCTATCACAGGAACTAAGTCTGTTTCCATTGTGGTGCTCTGGCTCCCCCTCCTGCACCCTGGGTCAGGAGAAGTCAACAGAATGAGAGTCCGGCTATGCGAGTTATCGTCTACCCAGTGAGCTTCTCCTCTTAGACCGAGGTTATTCTAGCTGTAGTCTCTAGGTATGGGCCACAGTCTCTGTTCTTTTAAACCTTTTTGTCAATAGCCTGGATGAGGACATAGGAATTTTAGAAGTCGTGTCTCCTCTTAGACCGAGGTTATTCTAGCTGTAGTCTCTAGGTATGGGCCACAGTCTCTGTTCTCTTAAACCTTTTTGTCAATAGCCTGGATGAGGACATAGGAATTTTAGAAGTCGTGAAATGTGTTGGAATGCAGCCTTGAACAGGCTGAACATTTGATTAAATTCAAGAATGTTACATCTAATGGTTCTAATATAAGTTATAATTAGAACAGATCAAGCTGCCTAAGTCTGAGGCGGTTGAAGCGTAGATGAGGAGCACTGTGTGCTGAGAACAGAAGAGAATTGGGGAGTCTCAGTTGACCCCAAGTTTACTATGGTGACTAAGGTCTCTAGGGTGAGCACAGCTGCCAGACAGCCAAGGTGACCTCAGATTCAGTGTCCTCACCCAGGATAGGGTGCTTTCTCTGCTCTTTTCTGGAGAGAAAACACCCTGCCTGGGCTGTTCCACCTAGCTCCAGGTACCCCGTTTCAGGACAGATGCAGGAATTGAAAAGGGATGAGGAACGAGGACAGAGCAGTGGCTGGAAGCCAGGGTCAACATGGGGTTATTTCCTCCTGAAGGATCAGGAGCAAAATGAGAATTGCCCAATGGTCTTCTCATTTACTTGGGAGGAGGGAGAGGCAATGAGGCTGACATTTCGGGAGACCCTGGATGAAGCTTGGCCCTTAGTAATCAGTTGGCTTGGGCTTGAATCCCTGCTCTGCTGCTTAGTACTGAAGTTGGGCATGTTGTCTGTACTCGCTGAGCCTCGGTTTTCTCATCTGTAAAGTGGGCATAATAATAACACCTGTCATGTGGGATTGTTGTAAAGATTACATGAGCAAAAACCCTTTGCATAGCACCTGCAGTGGGCCCTTAGTAAATGTCAGCAATCTCTTTTTGTTTGTTTATGTAAGATCTTGGAGTCTGAAGATAGAATGGGCCACCTTTGGGCTAGCGAGTTTACTGACAGATTTCACAAAATTGTGTCAAGCATTCTATGTATTAGTTAAGAGTAGCAAGAGGTCTTTCCATATTGAAATGTAAGGAGAAATAAGAAAATCTGAGAATATGGAGTGAATAGATTTAATAGTTTTACTCCAAAACTCATAAAACTTTGCTCCTCACGACTTAGAATCCAAAAATAGTCCATTTTTTAAAAGTAAATAATGCCCCAAATTGGAGAACATGATCTGCTTTAGGGAAGAAACTGGGTTTCCCCCTCCATATATCTACAGGGCTTTGAAAGAAGCTGGTGCATGGTGGGTGACTAATGTTGATCAGATAAGGAAAACAAATAACTCCAGGAAAATAAGTTAATTAAAATGATCAGTGAAGATGCCACACGGGCACCAGGCACTGACCATCTCCTATCTGCAAAAAATACAAAGAGACCTCATATTCTGATTTGAGCCAAACCAAAGCCCAGGCCTGGCTGTGATTTCACTCTGTGTCATGCCCAGAGATGATTTTCCAAGTGGCTTTTCCAGCCGTGGTTTCTGCTTCAGAACAGATGGCATGACTGTCTTCCTTTTGACCCAAAGCCCCGGGCTGCCAGCCTTCAACACATCACGGGACATCCTCCCACCTCCTCACCCTGTTTTCCTCTTCACTCCTATTGGACTTTTGCTATTTTTTTTTAAAAGATGACCGGTAAGGGGATCTTAACCCTTGACTTGGTGTTGTCAGCACCACGCCCAGCCAGTGAGCGAACCGGCCATCCCTATATGGGATCCGAACCCAGGACCTTGGTGTTATCAGCACCGCACTCTCCCGAGTGAGCCACGGGCCGGCCCAGACTTTTGCTATTTTGAGATGGGGTTTCTCCTAGGAACTTTGGGAGTTTCTCAGGGATTTTTGGTTGGGTGTTGAGTCCACGTGTCAGACCCTCAGATGGAATCTGTGCTCGAGGGCTTGTGGTCTTATTTGGTTAGGAAGGAGTTCATCTAACAAGTCCAGAAGGTCCTGAGAAGTCTGCTCAATGTCTTCTGCTCAAAGTCTTGCTGGGTCAAGACTGGCGTGTGACAGAGAGGGGGCTGGTCAGAGCAGCGACCCCCGAGCCTCCCTGTCCCTGTCAGGGTCAAAGTGCAGCCCTGATGGAAACAACCGTGTCCTTGCCATCCAAATGCTGCCGTGCAAACTTTGCAGTGTGTTGCTATGTTCTTGAGGTTGGAGCTGCCACCCAAGGGGAGAGCAGACTCCAGTAAATGCAAGGCCTATTTATAGCCCTGTGGCAACGTGTTCGTTTTGGCTCCAACACCGTATGAGCATGGCATGTCGCTTTTGTCATCTCCTCTGTCCTCCACAGTCTGTTCTAAATTCTCAGGCACTCTGCTCTGGGTTCTGATTTTAGCTCTGCCAGCTGTGTGACCTCAGGCAGGTCACTTTACATCTCTGGTCCCCAGCTGCCTCATATCTAGAATGGAAGCAATGGTCCCTGCCCCATCTGCCTCATGGGGCTGTCAAGAGACTTAAATAAGGCCACCGAAGGGAGAGCATCATCCCACTGTGATCTGCTTTACTGGTGTGAGGGTTTGTTACTATTGTTGTGAATCTCACTATGAAGAGGAAATGTCCTTCTTGCATGGGGAGGGGAGGAGGCAAAAGGAAACTTAACAAAAAGAGGAAATTGGATTTTTTTTTAAAAATTCACATGGTTACATGTCTGCAGCTAATAAGAACCAAAGCAGTTCATGGGGCTGAAGAACGTGAGCTCAGGACTACCCCCCGCCCAAATCATTGCACAGTAGCACCTGTTTGGTGGCCACAGGTCCTAAAACCACATTTATACCAGGGACAGAGAAAATGAAAGCCAAAGTGACTGAGGAAACTGGAAATGCATTCATTCAGTCACTCTACAACCATTTATTGAGTGCCCTCCTTACATGGTCCCACCCTCCAGGACACAGACAAGCATACCAGCACCTACTTAGAGCTCACGTGTCCAACAATCCCAGCTATTCTGAACATGGAAACATCAGAATGGAGGCCCAGAGGCATTTCTGCAGTTGCATTAAACGGAAGATGATTTACCTAAGCCCAATCACTTCCCTTGCAGGAGAGCCTTTTAGACCCTCACTCACAGCCTGCTTACTTTTGTTCCACGCATATATTTAACAATCCAGTCTCCCTGCTCTCCAAGCCTATGGCAGCTCAAAAGCAGCAAATTCAGAGTGAGGAGAGAGACTTGATGACAGTGAAAAGTGACCGTGTAGACTTGACAACTAAAGAGGAGACAGAGAGCCATAGAAAATGGATCAAGAACTCCCAGTTCAACCATCTGTGGCCATTTGGTGTTTGGGTTAGTCTTCTCTAAGCCCAAGAGCATCACTGTGGGTGGCCATAACAGTGACTGATGTTCAGAATGAAGCTATGAGTTAAAGGAGGGACAGGGGCAGCTAAAATGTTTCTGAACATAGTGTTTGCCACTCATGGTACACATATTATCTCAGTTAATTCTTACCCCAATCCGGTGAGGCAGGCTTTGCTGTCCATGGTCTGTAGATGAGAGAAGTGAGGCCCAAGGAGCTGTGTGCCATAGTTACCCAGCTGGCACATGGCTGAGAACCTAGTGCCACTTGACTGTATTCTTTTTTCCAGAAGGGCAGAAGCTGGGTTAGAAAAAGTTTTATCTTCGTCGTAATTGACTAATGCTCTAAACAACATGTGTTGTCATTCAAATGGACTAAGCTTCTGTTTTCCAGAAAATTCACTCACAAGGAACAGCTCACAAGGGAACAATGGCAGGTCAAAGAGCTATCACAGCAGATCTAACTCTGCTCAGTGCTGCCATTTAATGATCACGTTGTCTTTGTCCTCGGTGAGGAGGAAAATCTGCCTTCCTGATTACAAGGCCTTTTCCTGTCCTCCCTCTGTTTTCTGTTAACTCTTATTTAGCATGCCTTCCTAATAAGGGGGGCTGTCATCTTGCCTCAACCTTTTAAGATTGAGAAAGCTTCCAAATTTTTTCTTGCTTTGTTTTGCTAAGAAAAGAAGGAACTTCAAAAATGGCCTTTGAGCCTTGTCCCTTTGACTTATTAGCTGTATGTGTTTGGGCACATTCCTCAATCCCTGAGCCAAATTTCTTCATCTATAAAATTGAGATAATAGCACATACCTCATAGGGTTGTTGTGAAAATAAAATAATATATACAAATGGCCCGATACATAATAGGGGCTCGATACATGTGCAACCCTCTCTGTCAGTAAATGATGAGAGTTATGAAATCTCACATGTTCTGCCATTGATTAAATGACCTGGGATCACTGGGATGACCCTTGTTTTAAAAAAAGCCTAGTCCTCCACCAGGATCTGGCATTATCTTTTCTTTAAAAAAAAAAAGTTTCTGTGGACTAAATCCCATTCATTAGAGGGAAGCCCAGGAGACTGCCTGCTTTTGTTCAACTGGGATTTTGTTAGGTAATTAAAATATTGGCATTCTCTGTGTTTTCCACAATTTTAATTGGGGCAACATTATAATGTAGTTGCTGAGAAAATGACTATGATTCAAGGCTGCATTACAGGAAATGTAGTATGTAGAATGAAGGAGTAGGTCCCATATCATCAGAAGAGTCTAGAAATGAGGCAGTGTGATCACTGCCCTGAGATAGTTGAAGAGCTCTTTCAGTAAACGATTTCTGTTTAATCTCCAGAAGCTTTAATAAACCAATGGGTGGAGGCTACGGATATGGGATCTGAGCTTAAGTCAAGGAACAAACATTCTAACCTACGTCTACCTCGGTGAGAGGCTCCACACTGCAGGCTGGGCTTTCTCGGGTGGTAAGGGAGGTTGAAAAGATTCGCCTACCCAGATATGGACATGAGGGGAGTGCCCCTCCAACTCTTAGACTTGACAGAAGCTGTTGTGTGTGAGCTCTGACCAATGCTTCCATGGACAGGTCCTGGTGTGGCCTCCTGCAGCCTAAGTGGAACAGGCAGAACCTTCCCGGAGTCCAGAACAATCTCTCAGGCTCTCCTCTCCACATCCTCTGGGCTCTCATGCTGTCCCTGTTCTATGCCAAAGCACACCAGAGGGTGTGACATGAATTGATTCCCAACATGTCCTTCTAATATAGGTGGCTCCCCAGGAATGAGTTGAAGAATTGTTTAAAATGTGTACATCCATCACAGTACACAGAGGCAATTTCCCTCCACCCCTGTTCTCTGAAGTCACTCCTAGGCATTTTGAGTACTGATGGGAACACAACCGCTTCTTAGAGACTTTATTCTGGACCCAATTTTGACGGAACATGACGTTCCTACGAAGTGAGATTTCTCTATGTGTATTGAAGCTATCAAAAAGCATGCTTTTCTGAAATAAAATAATTGCAAGAAGAATTAAAGCCAAGTAGAGGTGCTTTAAAACATTCTGATGACTTTTTTTTGTGTAAATGGGAGGCAAGGCAGTATGGCTTTGTGGCTTTAAAGTCAGCAGACAGAGGGTCCAGGCCTGACTTTTCTCCCTGGCTGTGTAACTTTGGAAAAGTTACTTTCCCTCTCTGATTTTCAGTGTCCTCATCTCTAGAATGAGGATAATAAACCTTGCCCTAACCACCTCCCATGGTGAATATGAATGACAATCAAATAAGATGTGTGTAAAGCATATAACTGTAAGGGACTTTTTTTAGGATTCGAATTTATGCATTCCATGCTTTGGGTAAAGATTCAGAGACTTCTCAGTTTGCCAAGTGGCATCTTATATAAATGACACACTTAGATTAAATTGTCTTGGCCCCTTGAAAATTGCTCCCCCTGGATTGTGTTTTGAGGTGTGACCTCAGCTTTTAATAAAGATCTAAACAAAAACAGTTTTATGAAACCCATTGTTGTAGCGATGCTGTCAACACCATGCTGACTAATTTGACTGTATCTTCTGTATGAGGCATTTTTTTAGGGTTTCCCCCAAAGACCTGATGCGTTCTCTCCTTATCGATAACGAGAGCTGTGAAAATGATCTTGTTGCCCTTGTCTCTTGGGAAGCCAGGAAGTTCATGGTGACATATGCAGCTTAATTATGTGTAGTGTTAGAAACTTCGGTCTGCTTATCTATGTTCTGTTCCGTTCACATCCAGTAAACATATTATAATTTATATTTTCCCAGGCTGTGTGTTTTAACTTTTATTCAGTGTTTATTATTTTAGTATACATGTTGTCCATAAACTATCTTGGATCCTTTGAGAGATAACAAAGAGGAGATCCAAGTAATAGAAAAATTAGTATATCCTCTGGTAAGAGGAAGCCTGACTCCTCTCCACCTTTCTCGCAGGGCACAGATCCTTGAACAAGTGCTTGACCCTTGGTCCTTCACAGTCACCCCATGTGTTGCAGGCATACGAGGAGAACGTGTATGGCAGCAAATACCAGTGGATCATCCCGGGCTGGTACGAGCCTTCCTGGTGGGAGCAGGTGCACACAGAGGCCAACTCATCCCGCTGCCTCCGGAAGAATCTGCTTGCCGCCATGGAGGGCTACATCGGTGTGGACTTTGAGCCCCTGAGCTCCAAGCAGATCAAGACCATCTCAGGAAAGGTCAGTGCCTTTGTCTGCCCAATTCAGCTCCCAGGCACATCTCCTTGGATTATCTTGTCTGATGATGTTGACAAAAAGTGTATAGATCTTGTCCTGACCTTTGCTGTGTGACTTTGAGCAAATCACTTGGCCTCTCTGAGCCTCGTGGGCCTGTAAAATGGGCTTGGCCAGCCCTCCACTGTATGCCCCTCTAGGGAATTGTGAGAATCTAATGAGGTGAGGATAGTCTGTAGGCACATAACCCAGTAGATGTGTAAGAGAAGGAGTCTCGACTTCGGCAACACCCACTACAGGGCCTTTTAGACTCGACCAGTTTCATCCTGTGCTCCTCTGACTGGAATGTCATTTCTCGATCTCACTGACACTCTCCTGAAGAAGAGGAAAGGCCCAAGTCTTTCAAGTAGACTTTGGGAAACATGCTGTAGACCAACCAGACTAGTTCAAACCCCAATTTTGTCACTTACCAGCTATGTCACCTTGAACTTGAGTTCTCCAAGGTCCTGTTTCCGTATCTGTATGACAGTGGTAAAGTTCCCTCCTCTGGGGTTATCAGGACGACTGATGGCAGGTTGTGCAATGCTGCTAGCATGTGCTGGCACCTTGATGCTGCCATAACTGGGAGCAGGAACTAGACCATGGTGCTTCAGTCCTCGGGGCCTCCGCTGGCTCCCACTGCCCTGCTTATCTTGTCTGGCTGTTGTGAGGACCAGGTGGTATGGTATACGTAAAAGTTCTGCAAGAGTACACAGTTCTTTATCAGTGTAAGCATTATCAAAAATCAGGTGATGACAGCCCTGGTGAAGGTGGTAACATCCATTTCTCAATTCTGACCACCAGCCAAAATTCAGTACAGCAGTGCGCATAATTTTTCTCTGTCTTCTCTGTGTTCACACAGTTGATTCTCCACCTAACCCCAGGGTTTAAAGAATAAGCTTCACGATAAAATTTTTTTTAAAAATTATATATATACATACACTTTTTATTCATTATTTAATCTAAGTCAGAACCAACTCCACATAAATGATTTATTGATTCATCCAAAAATGGCAAATCATTAGGACACATTTTGTGAACATCTCTTTAGATCATGCTGGCACCAGGGCAAAAAATGTTGAAAGAAATATTTTCATATAAAAATTAATGCATATATAAAAATGTTTTTGAGATGTTGAATAATGAGCAGAAATAACTCATTTTATTTCTGTAAGTGTTATTTTTAAAGTTGTCAAAGTTTGCAATTTATTAACATACTTGAGTCCAGGGATACCCTATATTTTAATCTAAAAATAGGATAAAACTCAAGGAAAATACAGAAACTAAGAAAAAAAAATCAGTATAATAACTAAACTGAGAAACTTAAGGAAGACCAAAGATTTAAATGATTACACATGAGATCTGTGGAGCTAAGCGGGGGGTGAGGGCCAGGAGATGCCACATGAAGAGCCTTGGATGTTGTTCTAAGGAGTGTGGATTTTATCCAGGGTGGGAGCCACTCAGGCGTGTGAGCAGTACACAGGAATGCATTTTTAGGGAGATTGTTTTTTATTTTTTTATTTTTCATGGGTTTTTTTGGAAGAGATGTTTAGTTATTTTTATCAACATCTCCCAGATCACTGACTTTCCTTTTTTACTTTTCTTATTTGGGGCTGATGAGGAGGCTGGCCTCTGCCCCATCACTGCCCTGTGCATGGGACACCTTGGGCCTGTTCACCTCACTCCACAGTTGTGGATGATCCACTCATAGGCTCCCCAGGATGGAACAGGGCCATCTGGGTGGCTTCCGAAAATCAAGGAGACCCGGTACCTGTCCCTGCAGTTTTTGAAGCAAGACGTGGCATTTCTCACCTTATCCTGCAGTTACAAGATGATAGAAGTTACATGGGGAAATCTGCAGAATCAGACAGTATTAGAGCTGCTCCTAGAGATCATCTAGTCCAGCCTCACATCAGATTCTCAGATCTTCCAGTATCTGAGGACTTGCTATTTTTTCCCTTAATTCCCCCGCACTGGTCCCTCTGGGGCTACTTGGGTCCTGTTGGCCCTTCTGCCTCATATTGCCCTTCAGAGATTTGGGGGTGGAGACCACATCCTTGGAGATGTCCCTTCTCCAAACTAAACAACCCCAGTCCCTCCAGTTGTAACTTATAGATCCAGAGCAGGGACTAAGGGCAAAATTTAAGGAGGTGCCAAAAACATCAGTAATCGAGATTTTAAAAAAATATCTTAATGTGGTATTTTTTAAATCAAAATAATGCAAGAAAAGAGTTTTGATTTTTAAAAAGATGGCATTAAAATATTTTTATCTTGAGTCCTGAGTTTTTGATTCCCCCTTAAATTTCACACCTAAAGTTAGTGTTTCATGTGCTTCACTCTAGTCCCAGCCCCCAACAAGCTGTGTTTGTCAAACTCCTCCCCACGCTCGGCCAGTCCTCTTGCACTTGTTGAATGCTCCCTCCCAAGGGTGTGAGGCCCAGAGTTGAATAAAACATGCTTATTCATGGTATGACCACAAGCCTCCTTCCCCAGCTGCCTTCGTAAGCGTATGGCTGCAGGAAGTTCTGGAGAGTTGCGAAACGTTTCATGAACTTCAACTTGCATTGTGCATAACTGTGCGTGTAACCACGGTCAGCATGGCACTGGCTGCTGGATTGATGACTGTCTTTTGGGATCCACTGGTGTCCGTGAAGACAAGCAAACACTACCAGAGCCACAGCAGATAAACAGGCTTCTGCCATCCTCGCTATTTTACAAATAGGGAAACTAAAGTGCAGGGAGGGAAGGGACACACTCAAGGTCACTGTAGTGGGTTGAATAGGGGCCCCTAAAACGACATGTCCACATCCTAATGCTTGGATCCTATGAATGTGACTTTATTTGGAAAAGGGGTGTTGCAGATGTAATTAACTTAGAGCTCTCACGATGCAATTTTCCTGAATTATCTGGGTGGACCCTAAATCCAGGCAGAGGGAGATTTGATGCACCGAGGTGAAGTTCCTGTGAAGAAGGAGGCAGAGATTGGAGTGATGTGTCTCCAAGACAAAAATTGCTGGCAGCCACCAGAAGCAAAGGAAAGAGGCATGGAACAGATTTTCCCTCAGAGCCTCCGAAAGGTACCAACCCTGCTGACACCTTGACTTTGGACTTCTGGCCTCCAGAACTGTGAGGGAAGACTGTCTGTTGTTTTAAGCTACCCAGTTGGTGGAAATTGGTTAGCAGGAATCCGGTACTCATCCAGCAGGTGGGCGCAGATCCAGGACTCCTGATCACATCTCAGGGCTGCTCCCCTCTGTGTACTGTTGCTCCAGACCTGTGACATGCTCAGGGTCACATCTGGATCAGCCCTCCTGTGATGGCTCAGTGGGCCCAGGAGCACACTGTCTGGTCATCAGGCGATCTGGAGCACCTCAGCAAATCGCACTCACTCCAGGCCTCAGTTTCATCGACTGCAAATGAGGGATTTGGCCCAGATAACTCCTAGGGTCCTCTTACAACTCAGTTTTCTGCCTCTCTGTAAATATTGCATGGGGTTATTACAGCTAGCTGTGGGATGTGGTTATCATGTTAAACCCTGGAATCTCCCAGGATACAGGTGACTCCCAGTAGAGAAAGTCACAGAGCAGGCAGAATAATGGCCCTCCTGCATGCATTCTCTAAGGTTCACCCCTTCATATGCCTGTCTCTAGCATCAGGCTGTCCCCAGCTCGCACATCGGTGCCAGGAGTTTCCTGGTAAAGGGAATAACAATGCCTTTGGCTCCCTCCAGAAGCACGTTCTTCAGTCCTTGTCCCGGTTGGAGCAAGTGTGGACCTCAGGCTTCTCTGAGCACATTCTTCTGGCACCTCATGAAGACAGCTTCTGGGCACTTGTTTTGGGCTCTGACATCCAGCTCTTTCTCCTCCTGAGGTTCCCTATCTCTATTGTACTTCTGCATAGTGATTCTGTTGACACTGATGGTTTCAAGTGTCAACTTCCATTTTTCGGAGTCCTGTTAGGTTTGTTTCCATTCTGAACATTTACAGTTCTGGCCTGTTTTCTCCAGGGATGGCTCAGCCTCTCCCACGCGGACATTCTTCCCATGTTACTGTTCCTCTGCTGAGACACAGAGCTGGGCCAAAGCGCCAGATGGAGCTGTTCGCAAAACCCTGGAATCAGCAGGGACCTCAGAGATGGCCTCAGCCCTCAATCAAAGGCACAGGCTCATCCTTTGGAAGAGTTTGCATTGTTGTCTGGCAAGAAACTTCTGTGACCACCCGTGATTGTTTATGCAACACTGCAGAGCTTGAGGAAACACAAATCTAGTAGGCTCTCAACTTAGAGCCAATGACCCATCAAAAGCTGCACCCATCTTGTAGCCACTGTGATAAGAGCTCCATGACAAAGCACTCGAGCTTTTAGGGAAGCTCTTGGCTCTAGAGTGGAGAAAGGGAAGGTGCATAAAAAAATAGGGGAGCTCCCTGGGGAACCGAGCTTCACAGAGCCACTGCCTCTGACCCTGCCCTCCCCACACAGCTCCTGTTCCTTTTACCCCCCTAGGTATCCATCTCACTGGGACACAGGTGGTATGACAGAGGGACATGGGCTCAGGAGGAGGGGTTTGGTGGCCTATGCAGGGTCTGCTGGCTACATTTGAATCTTGGCTCCACACTCCCAGCTGGGTGACTCTGGCAGACAGCTGGTTGTCTGTACCAACATCCATACCCCTCTTCCCCTGTTTCATCTCAGTAACACATCTCTGACTTTTGACTGGGTCTGTTGCCACCCTACTAAAAATGTACATTTCCCAGCCTCCCATGTAGCTAGATAAGATCAGGATTCTAAGTCTAACCAATGAGATATAAGGAGAAGGGTTATATGGGATTTCTGGAAAGGCTTCTTTAAAAAGGGGTCTTGCCCTTCTTATTCTTTCTCTTTTGTGTTGGCTGGAATATGGATGAAATGGCTGGGATGCTAGCAGCTATCTTGGGCCATGAGGTGACCTTGAGAAGGAAACTTTATTCTTG